AAAAAAAAAAAGAAATCATGGTGGTTTATGAGAAAGCGAGTTTATCTGAGATGTGTTTTAAATTTGTATAAAAAAAAAACAATAGATAAATCCATTTAAAAAAAAATGGAAACCTGTGATCCTTAAAACAAGAACAATCTGTTACCGAAATGTTCCTTTTTCAATTTAATATTTTAAATCATTTTTAAACACTTTTAAATTTTTAAATTTTTTAAAATTTTTAATGATTTAAAGTAAAAATTAAATAATCTTTACACACATTTATATAACTTATACAGATGATCTGGTTACCTAAGTTTTTTTTCAATGCATTTTAACCCAGTTGGTTCAGAAAACAGCTGATCATCCAATGAAGCTGTTTTGTTCAGATTTGTAAGAAAAACTGATCATCAAATGAAGCTGTTTTGTTCAGATTTGTAAGAAAAACTGATCATCTAATGAAGCTGTTTTGTTCAGATTTAAAAAACTGATCATCTAATGAAGCTGTTTTGTTCAGATTTGTAAGAAAAACTGATCATCAAATGAAGCTGTTTTGTTCAGATATGTAAGAAAAAAAAGGAATATAGTGAACTGTGATTTTTAGGATGCGTCCAGTAGGGTTAACCATTCTCAGATCCACCGCTGAATGAGGCATAATAACTACTTTGTTTGTTTTGTTTACTTTTGAAAAAATTGAAGGGACGATTGAAAAAAAAAACATGAGTGGATTTTTCGCTATTATTTATTGTCTTTTTTGTGATGGATAGGCTGTATGTGAATAAATATATACATATACATTATGTATGTCCATTAACAAATGTATATACAACACCCCTATAAACACACGCACACGCACATTCAATCATAAGTCAAAAAGCTAAAGCAAAAACATAAAATATAAGCAAAAAACACAACATAAAGAACAATTAAAAACAAAAACAAGTGATTTCCACATACACATACACACGCTCATACAAGCAAGCAAACCCATTTATACAGACAAACAAGCACACACACACACACACACACACACACACACACACACACACACACACACACACACACACACACACACACACACACACACACACACACACACACACACACACACACACACCACACACACACACACACGCCCACACACACACACGCCCACACCCATAAAAACCACAAAAAAAACACACGCCACACACATACAATCACACATAAAGCAGACAAAAAAAGTGGACACAGAAACTAAATAAATAAAATGGATGAAAATAAATAAATAAAACAGAAAAAAAATGTACACGTCTACACAGTGCCATTGTGGAAGAGCCGCCTGTGTGTATGTATATAAGAAGAGGCCCTGGCACTGTTCTTCCGGTGCCATCCCGTCCGCCTCTGTTCAGTTGTACCATCTCCACCTCGTCAACTACTTCGTCTGTTTAGATAATTATGTGTTTATGTGTATTATTATTATGTTTTGTGCATTTATTCTCAGTCGTTGTTTTTTATTTTTTTGTTTTCTGTTTTTCATTTTAGTAACATTGTTATTTTTTGTGATTCCTTTTTTTGTATTGTTTTTTTTTTCTTCTGTTTATTTATTGCAATTGTTTTTATTTCTTTGTTTCTTAATCTTAATGACATCTTATTATTCTCCTCAAGTTTATCAACGTTGTTTTAGTATATATTTTTCCAAATACTCTTCGCCATCACTTTAATATCAATGGAAGATTATCACTAAGTGTTTTTCTTATTAATTTCTTCACCCACCATATTTCATACCTTATTCTTGTTCCTTATGATTCACCATACCCCATCTTTATCAAGTATTCCTCCTTATTCCTAACATTCCTTGGCCAGTAACTTTATGAAGACCTTTTTTTATATAATTTCGTTTTTTTTTTTTTTTTTTATTACCAATCTACCTCTACGCTAAGAGGCGGACGGGTTACCATGTAGCAGGCAATACTCGACCTTATTATCTAGTCAGATGACTCAAAGATTGGTTTTTCAAAGGATAACTGCTTTCGCTTCTGCTTATAGAGTGATAACATATATATCAACAACTTTTAAACTGATCTATTTTTGTATAATTAGACATGTGTAGGTGTTATTTTCTACTGTGTACTACTGAATAACCAAATGTAGTTGATATCGACACACTAGTGGAATAAGACGATGGATAAAAAACACACGAGAACTAAGCAGTATAATTATCGTAATCAAGGGTCAAATTTCGCTGCAGGGGTTCACAGCGTGGAAGTGAGTTGCCAGTTAACGTTTATTTTTTATTTTGGAGTTGCCAGATGCCGCTTTTGCAACTAACCCCTACCCCCCTCTCCCCTCATGGCGATTCATGCCAATCACAGTAATAAAATGTACAAAGTTATTTATATATGAATTTTATTGCTTAAGACAATTATATTATGTGTTTTGCGTGTACATACTTGAGTAGGTGTTAAAAGAAAACGAAAAATATATGTAAGTTACCAACTGTTATTATAACTGCATACTGAACCTTCCATGTCATTATTTAATAACAACATAAAAGTGTGTGAGTGGATTTTTCATCCAAAGCATATATATATATATATATATATATATATATATATATATATATATATATATATATATATATATATATATATATATATATATATATATATATATAGTGAATGCACAGTTAGTACTCTATGTTGTATATAACAATTACCTAAAGGCCCTATGATAATTTACCTAGATGTCCTATTGAAATATAAAAAAAACAAGAAAGAATTTGTTGTTTCAAAACCCTCTGCACATAACTTCACATGTCCTGAGCCAAGCCATGCAAGGTGCCAAGAACGCCCGTTGCAATTGCCATGGTGCTTAGGATATGTATGGGTTGGTGGTAAAAGGCAACAAGTATTATTATTAATTGGATAAGGATTGGTTGAATGATACGAGATTGGATTGGATAGTCATTAAAACCAGGAGTGATGGTTTGAAGTTGGGATTGAAAGTGCGAGGAAAGACTTGTGGAATGATGGTTTGAAGTTGGGATTGAAAGTGCGAGGAAAGACTTGTGGAATGATGTAGAATAATGATGATGATCATAAT